ATTGCCATGCCCACAATGTGCTGTCAAGGCGGCTATCAACTTCAGTGCGAATCGAGGGCGGGAAATACCCTCGAGAACAAAAAAACGGTGTTAATGGTAAATTAAATGTGATTGAAATTGAATTAGAAAATCGAGCTATCGATGATATATAATATGAACATCTATAGGTCAAATTTCTCTCTTACTAAGAGCTAAGACTTCAGATACTGAAAAGTAAATGAGAACTTATTTTTAAAATCCATATATGAAGTATAAAATATCGATAAAGATTTCGATTTCGATTATAGTGCAACAAATATCGACAATTTTAATCCATTAAATATAATATATGAAGCATAAAATGTTGATCAAAGAATTCGATTTGCATTATGATTATAGTGCAACATATATCGACCATTTAATTAAATACATATATGATGTATGTAGCTTATCGATTTTAATGGATTACAGTTCTTGAATCGACTATTATGCCAGCAACCGATATAAACTAAATCTATACCTGAAATTGACCTAAATACAAAATTTCAGACCGATAGCTCTTAGGATTACAGAGTTCATATAGACAGGCAGACAAACTCTCAAACACTCGCATCGAAGCTGATCAAAAATATACCTAGTGTGTGCTGTCCCTAATTTTACTCCAGCTTCTGCACATCCGCAACACTAAAAAAATACGCTCTTCTGCACATTTTTAAGGGGTATTGCGCATAATATAAAAATCCGGAACTTTCGACTTTGGAAAGTATTCCAATTTTCTAGCATTTTGCAGCGCTTCTTTAGCTGCCAGTTGCTGTGTGCAAAAGTTGCTCAAACTTTGCCAGGAGTGCCAGAACTTTTAGCACAATGTGTCGTCGCTGCCAATCCTGCTGGCAACGCCCACTGCCACTGCGGGAGGAGATAGAGGCGTAAGGAGGGGGGCATAAAAGTTTTTACTGTCGCACTTGGCGCACTAAACTGCAGACACACGCGCCGCTGCACACGAACATGGCCGAGTGGAGCCARCCAGCCCGAGCGAAGATTTCCCGCTGCTTTAAACAAAACAACAAGAAATATAAAAGCCGCACGTGTGCACCACCCAACCACCCCACCATCCCACACCCACCTAGCATACAAAGTAGAGCTGACCTTATGACTGGGCACTGACCAACACAGCATGTGCAAAAAAAAATATATATATAATAACGGAAAAAGTGAATAAAAACCTCGAGTGGATGCCGCAAATTGTGAAATTTTGTATACAGTAAACTGTGCATTTTCTGCAAATGCTGGGAAAACAAGCTGAAAAAGCGCAAAACAATTTTTTATTTAATTGGTGGGCGAGTGTATGCGAGTGTGAGTGCGTGTGTGTGTGTGTGTGTGTATGGGTGGGTGAGTGAGTGTGTTCAAGTCGCAAAGTGGTTTCATGCAACCGTTGGGCCACCCAATTGAGTTTCAAAGTTGCAATTAGAGCGGCTTCAATGGGCGACTGCCACTGACCCAATGGGGCATGCCCCCAGGCCGGAGCATAGGCCATACAATGGAAACAGTTCAGACTGGACACCGCTGCCACGCCCCCCGCAACCCCACACAACTAAGGCATTCGTCAAACAGAAACAATGCGCATCAAAAGAAACAACTCGCAGACCATTTAACTCCAAAGCGAACATTTCATGGGGCAATCAAATGCAAAGCGAGTGAAATGATATGAAGGGGAGTGCAAGCGAGATGGCAATATGAAGAGGGGAGAAAGCTGGTGAGGGAGAGAGAGAAGTTGACAGAGGGAGCGAGAGCAGAAGAGAAGGGTAGAGTTAGAGAGAGACATAGAGAAAACGATTGAGGAAGGCAGAGAAAGAATTGAAAGATGGTGAGAAGAGAGATCAAGAGAGAGAGAGAAAGAACAAGAGAGAGAGAGTGAGATAAGTAGAGATAAGATAAAGAGACAATCAAGCTAACAAACTATGAGAAACAAATAATGATAATATCGAAATAGATATAAACCTTTTTTTGTAATCTTAGTATTCCAGTCATGGGGTCTTAGCCAAAAGTCGTATTAACTAGAAAGAGACAGTACATATTACACCATATAATACAGCATTTATATAAGAAATATATTTATAATATATAGATAACTTCTTATACTTCACCTTAGCTCATATAATATCATATTATAATATGAACAACAATCAAACTATATTTCTTGCAAATCCTTTTCTAGTTTAGTTCGAGCCACAAAAACCAAAGTTCGCTATGCTCGCCGTGGCTAAATGCTGAAATGAAAAATCAAATTGAATTCACTTTTGCCTTTGACTGTAATGCTCACGCCCCGCACCGCTCCGCGCCACGCCCCGCGCCACAGACCACGCCCCCAGCATATGGCAGCCCCACCTATTGAGCGATCCGCCAAAAGTGTCAAGGGTTTAACGATGAGCTCCCCTCAATGCAAACGCCAGCAGCTACGATATTGATGATGATGGTGATGGTGATGGTGATGGGGATGATGGTGATGATGATGACGACGATGGCGATGATGATGGGGATGTAGAGGATGATGACGATTTCTTTCGATGATTTCTTTACACGACATTTAATTGAGAAATAATTGAATAGGTCGTGTGAAGTGTTTGTTTGGCATTTTGCGTGGTACCGTGCGAGAGAGGTGAATGGGGAGGGGAGGGGGCGATGGGCAGAGGAGGCTGAGGGACTTACGTAGCGCCCGGTTCGGTGCGCGCGTCGCAATGAAATTAGCTTTGTCAAACGCGGCTGACATATGCACCGGTTGAGCTTGAATGGTGCGGAAAGATCTATTGCAGCGTGAAAACGACACAGCGAGTTGTTAATGAAGTAGTCACAGTCAACGGAGAAAGTCACCTATGTGGTGGAACCCCCCCCCCCCCTCCCTCTCTGGTCCCACTATGTTCTCTGCGCCTTCTACAACGACAGTCAAAGGCTGAGGAAATAATAAAAAAGAGAAGTTGAAATTCACGTCTGATTGGAATGCACTCGGCAAATTCGCCCAAAGCCACGAATTGCGCAATCAGCCGCAAGCTTATAATTGCAGTTGCAATTTAGACTACCCCATTGTAGCTCAGCGGAAAGGGTATCTAATATATGTGCTTAAAGCAGGAAATTTAACTGAACACTGAAATAAGTTATTTAACAATATTAGATGTATATGAATGAAAATAGGCAGTAATCAAGATTTATGGATGAGCATGAAAGAGAACTATGTATAAGAGAGCGAATTGAGGAATAGATTCAAAGCATAAAAAGTTAATTGAGCAATCGAGCAAATAGGAATATGAGAGAGTATAGCTTGATCCACCAATTAGGCGGTTATAGAAATAGAAACTCACATAATAATGGAACTGTCATCATTTAAAAAGAAAGAAATTATTATTATTAAAAACAAGTAAGAAGGCTCCAGTCGAGACTGCTCGACTAGGAGATACCCTGAACCCTCTAAGCTGATATTCTAATCATTCTGCTCTTCTTTTATGCACACATACATACATACACATGCATCCACACGCACGCATAAGCCTGCGCTCTGCTAACTGCGCAGTAAGCAGCGACTGCGCTTGGGCTGCGCTGCAGTNTAGTACCCAGGGAAGAAGGGCCTTAATTCGTGCTTCTCAAAGAGAGGCAGCCCGTGAAATGGCAATAAGAAATGGTTCAAGGATTGATTTGAATCGAGCAGCGTTTCGATATGATTGCACCATTGATTACAGCTTGAATCGTTTAGTTTGCATTGGTCCAATGGACGTTGTTTGCTAGCATTGTGGCGCATTGAAGTTTGCTGGTGAAACGCCCGGTTTGTGCTGCCTTAGTGGTAAAGTGACATTGCCATTAGCGGTCACCATAGCCATTGCGTTCCCTGCTTTATGGCGAAACACTAGAATCACGACATTTTCTAGCGAACACTCAAAAATACAATGCCTGTTTCCAAATGACATAATTTGGGGCGGAAAATATTGGAGACGGATATTTAAGGTAATTTACGTTAAAAATTTTATTTTCTATGACTGCCAAAAAAAAATTTTGAATAATGTAGTTTGTTAGATTTCTGTAAATAGTGTTTGTAAATATAACTATAACTATGGCTTTGAATTTAAAGATTCAAGGCCAGATTTGCCATCGCATTGGATCATTGCAACCTATTGAAGATGCACAGCAAAAATTCTTGCAAATATACTTCATGGGCAATATGGAAGAACAACTTGACCGGCGTCAAGAAATGAACACAGCTATGAAAAGAGCAATTCTCCATGATTTGCATGCTTAGAAATTTAAACCAACCAAAACTGTGCAATGGAACGCGTTTGGTGATAAGAAAACTGATGAGCAATGTGATTCACGCGTTGATACTCAAAGGAAAATTTAAAGATGAGGAAGTTCTTATTCCTAGGATTCCGATGAGCTCAACAGATATGCCCTTTGAATTTAAACGAATTCAATTCCCGCTTCGTCTTGCCTTCGCCATGACGATCAACAAGTCACAGGGCCAATCTTTGACTATTTGTGGCCTCAATCTAGAAAATGCGTGTTTTTCTCATGGTCAATTGTACGTGGCATGCTCACGTGTTGGCAAACGATCCGCATTATTTGTTCTTGCACCCGACCAAAAAACGAAGAATGTCGTTTACAACAAGGTGCTTGAATGAAAATCCGATTAATAAATTTATCAGTGTATCCCAGCCTGAACAACATAGCTTTCAACAATTTTTTACCTAGAAATAATATAGAGGGCAATGCAACGTTTGCCGGGCCAGCTAGTTTATATATATATTCTAGTGTATAAATTGTAAGTTATGTCGGGGCGTACGAAAAAGCTAGTTTTTAATTACTTCTCTAAACTTGAAACAAGTTAAAATATTCAATTTATGCGAGCTCTACATATGTGTTATATAGAATGGACACGAAGAGATGAGTAATTCAAGCAAACACTGAATCGCCTCGGCTCCAACTATGCTAGTCACAAAATTATGTACACATGTGACAATTTCTATTGGCAATTATGGTAGTAGCTTGAATTTATGAGGCAGGTAGCGCGCTATAAAGATGCTATCTAGTCAATGACAGAGTTATAAATTGCCATAATAAACTAGAGGCGAATCGAAAGCATAAACAGAACAAGTGCTGGATGTATGTCCGGTCTGTGGCTAGCTGCGGTCCATTACGTGCGAGGGCCAGCAATTAGAATTGTGGTACGCGTCGAGTTCCACGAATTCTTGACTAATGTCAATGTCAAGGCAGGGATCGGAACTGGTTTACTTCACGACAGCGAAGCTACACTCTCCCGTTCTCTATATAAAGCGATGCGTGTGCTCCATATATAAGTCAATATGAAGCAGTTGGAGCTGAGTTTACTGTGCCTGTGCCTCTGCCTGCTGATCGGCCCATTATGGGCCGCCGACACGCCCACCTGGCAGCTGCCCACTGCCCAGGCTGCGCAGCGCATTCAACGGAGCTGCCAAAAGAGCTCAGCGGGCCAGCGGGCCAGCCAGCTGAGGTGCCTCGTGGAGCAGCTGGGCCTGTGGACCGACGAGCAGGGCTACAATGCCAGGCGCATAGCCAAAATCTTTGCAGGGCACCAGCAAACCGAGGAGCTAATGCTGGTCGTGGAGTACTGCAACGACAGAGAGCGCCGGCTGCAGCAGAAGCCCGCACAGTGGGCCTATGCGGCCTACAAGTGCGCCACGGCTGGCACGCTTGGACAGTGGCTGAGGGAGTACAAGAGGCAAATGCAGGCAATCAAATAAAGAGAATGCAAAGTTTATTTTGGCAAATCAAATTGTTAATGTCTGGGTAGTCTGGTCTGGTAGTCTGGGAACTTAGGCCTTGACACTCTGCTGCACCAGCTGCAGATTGGAGCGCATGAAGCACATGCCGCCGCGATAGGCCCAGGTGCAGGCATCGCTGCCTTGGGCATTGTTGTCCGCGCAGTCGGCGATCTTCTGGTGCACTTCATCCGCGTGGTCCACGTGGGAGCCGCCGGCGAGCTGCTCATGGATCTTGTGCACATCGAAGCCGTGCGTGGCATCAAACAGGCCAAAATGCTCGAATATGCACTTCAGGTAGCAACGGCTCTTCTCCTCATCCGCGAAGTCCCACTTCACATACTTGGCCACATCTTCGGCGCTGGCATGCACCTGCTCGGCGCATATATTGCGGAACCTGACCAGATCCTCGTGCGTCTTCACCACATAGCCCGAGCCATGGTCATGGTCATGAGAGTGACCCTCATGGTGATCGGCAAAGGCCAGAGTCAAGCTCAACAGAAGAATAAAGAGTTTCATGATGGATTTAGCTGAGAAGATGCTGGGATTCACTTGACGAGGATTGCAACTGCAATTTAGTGCTGCGTCTGCATTTGTATTTATAGCTAACTGGGAGGGTCTGAATCGATCTGATGATCACCATCTAAGGTCGGCGCAAGCAAATGTGATTGACTGACTCACATTGATTGTCTTATCAACGGGCTAAAGGTGTCTCAAGTAATTGTCAAGTTCCAAATACCGACACAACACACAATCACACACACGTTCATGATAACGTGACAAACAACATCTGCTGCAATTGGAATTCATGATAGACTTTTAGACTCGTAAAACCCGAATTTTATAATTCCAATACGATTTCTGCTAATCGGACAAAGTTCAGTTATTCTCTGAATGACAAAGAACAATCAGTGGCGCCATCTTCAGGTCTTAATTTTCATACTCTAGTAAGTTTGCTCCTAACTAGATTCATATGAAATTCAAAAAGGGAACTGTGCCGCCATCTGTCTGAAAAATGTATTTTGGCGCCATCTGGTAGCGCAGCCGTGAAGCTCAAAAAACACGACTGTATCTGTCAGCTTTGTACAGTGAGCAGCGAACACTTTAGTATTTTAGGCGTTAGAAATTCAACTTCATAAGAAAATAACGTATTACTATTTACGTTTACATGATTTTCTTACCGTTTCAAAAGTATTTATGTAATTTAAATAATTAGCAGGTTTAACTATATTAATCTTACAAGTGTATGCTTACTTTTTGAAAAAAATTATAAATTACAAATATTTATTTTAATTAAACCTTATTATTATTTATTAATTAAAAATCCTTATATGTATATTTCTTCAAAAAGGTTTTTTTATTAAATGTCTTTTACACTGAGTCTGAGTACCAAAATGTTGTATATAATATATTATTAATTAACACTGCATTTTCATTTTTCTCTGTAGAAAGCTTTGCGAAGATAATTCATAGCATTTATTTGATTGGTCGAGCAGGCACTTGATAAGACACACCTGGCTCAAAGAGAGAAACACCAACAGCAACAACCACAACAGCAGCAACAGCAACAACATCTAATGAACTGTTACCTGCCAGATCAGGCTGCCACGAAAAGTTCAAATACTCATTATGCCAATCAAACGGACGGCAAACGTAAAAAGGGAAAGCGAAAGTTCAAGCAATAAAGAAAACGCAACAGGAGGCAAGCAACAACAACAACATCAGCAACAATAACAACAGCAACTGCAGCAACAAATTAAAAACAAAAAGAAACAAGAAATCTACAAATTGTTGATTGACCCCAAGAGCTGTCGGCATCTCCAGTCGTCTCTCTGTCTGTGCAAGTGTGTGTGTGCATTAGGGAGTGTGTGTGTGCGTGGGTGGTTGGGATATGCGCGCAGCTGACAGGCCGACACTTATCACCTCTGCCAGTGAACGTGACTACAGCAAAGCGAACAGCGAACAGAAGTGGCAGACTAAATATACCCTATAAAAAAAGTATATATAAAATAATATAAATATATGAATATATGTAGATATTCATATGCATATCTCAACATACGAAAAGTGGCCGACGCACACTTTGGTTGACCTTCACAAATGCTTTATCAAATCATATATACCTCCTCTCACAGCACCCACGGCTACAGGGTATATTCATCATGCCAGCCAGAGCAGTTGGAGATTTGTTGTGGGGGCAATTTAATAGCTGTTTTTGGTACAAAGTGTGCGGTGTTTGTGTGTAGTAACTAGTAAACAACAACAAATATAGCAACGACAACAACAACATGGGCTACAATCCGTGGTAGTTCTTACCCATTGTGTGGATGAAAGTGAAACTATTGCTGTTAAGCGCATTGGCTATGGACTTAGAATGGAAATCGTTGCTCGCTCGAATCTCGATCGCTGGCCAGACCAAGTAGCAGTCTCTCTCTCTCCTATATCACTCTCTTACTCTTCATCTCTCTCTCTCTTTCTCTCTCTCTCTCTCTGTCTCTGTCTCTTGCGCATTATTCTTGACTTTCGCTCAGTTAACTGCATCCAATTGATTGCGCTGCTAAACCAATTAAATCAAAACTAGACAAAAGCTCAAGAGAAGCAAGATAAACCTAGTTTTAATACCCTACTTCGTTAGAGATAAGATGACTAACCAAAACTCTGATAATAAATAAACTAAAATTGTGGAAATATATTTTTAAGATTTAAAAAAAAAAAGCAAATAGTGAAAATATTTTTATTTACCAAGTTTGTGTTTTTCGTTTATTGTACATTTACAACTTTTATTTAGATAAAATAAATTAAATTATAATTAAATTGGCTAAATATATATTTCTGTAGTTGCTAGTCTTTAAAACTCTACTAGCTAAGTGCTTCTTTCCCTCAAGCCTTCTATCTTTTAGAAAGCCAATTTGATAGCCTGCTCTTAATTGCCTGTTAACGGGTCAAGCATATAAATTCGAAAGGACATAAAAATATGTTCTTGAGACTCGACTTAAATTACCACAAGAATTTCACCTCTAGCCACTTTCTGGACCTGAAGAGAAAACCGACAACTCGACTATATATCTTAACGTTCTTCACATTAAGGACACTTCCTCCTGCTGTGCTGCACGAGTGAACTGCGATAACCTCCAGCTGGATGCTCGAATCTGGGCCAAATTGCAAATGAAGTTCCTGCAGCGAGTCATAAAGCGCCGCCAAACCGAGCGCCGACCACAGCGCGGCAACTGCGCAGCATTTGACGTTGGCGTCGACGTCGCTGCCGCCGTCGAAGGTATAAAAGGTAGAAGACCGCCCAGTGCTCGCTCAAAATCCAATAAGAAACGCGCGTGCGCAGCCGCCGACAGTTGCGACTCGTGAGATCCCATGCTAAAGAGCTCCGTTATAGTTCGCGTTGCATTTAGTTGTTGCTGTGCACAGGCATAAGTGAAATATATACATACGTAGTATATATATAGCATATACTGCAATATAATTTATAGCAACTTGTTTTTAATAAAGTCACAACGTGTCGTGCGACGTCCGCAAATTGTGCATTTTAAAAGTTTAAAAACGAAAACTCAGCAAAAATAAAAGTAAACAAAAGTCAAGACGAGAAAAAAGGAAAGAAAAAAAAACATAAAGTAAATCAGAAAATCCCGAGTGCAGTTGACGATTTATGTGTTAATTTTTTGGACATTTCCTGAGCTTCCTGCGAACACGCTCAGAACTCAACTTGCATACCAAAAAGGCAGAAAACAATGCACAGCTTTAAGGTAAATGCTAACCACTGGGCGATGGGTATTTATTGGGGCAGACATTGCGACAGATCAACCGACTGACAGACAGACGGACCGATCGAGAGACAGACAGCCCCATTTGTTATAGATTCCACGCTGGCCGTGTGAGCACTTTCACTTTTTAGCTTTTTGCCAGGTTTAAGGTTACACATTAGTGTCCATTTTATTGCCTTTGAACTGGTCTCTGATCTCTTAGCCATGACTCGGGCCAACCGCTGTTGGCTGACTCAGCGTCTAACATGCAAAACTGGCAATGCAAGCTAGTTATACAAAAACAAAATACATACAAAGCGAGCGAGTGCGCACATACATTAATACATAAGTGGACCGGCCACAAATCGTAAATCATTCATAACTCTACATATTCAGTCAAAACACAAGCACTAGAACACGGCGCAACTGAAAACTTAGTCAGAACTAAATGAATATTGTATGGGATACGAATTGAATTAAATGAGCAGACTAAAATTACAATGTAATATAGACTATAACTATACCCTAGCTGATACTAGAGCACTATATTGGATTGAGCTAAACTTTTCTTCTTGTGGGATATTAATGTATGTCATATGGGAGTCTAATTGGTATACATTCATCAAGAAGAAGACACCATTATTATTATCCATATAAGTAATAAGTCTTTAAACTTTTATATTCCAGTTCAGCTTAAACTTTAATAAAATAAAACCATATTTTTAGCACCACTATAAACTTTAATCAAAAAATTGTAAATCGCAACAAAAAATTTAAATTATGGGCTAAGCAATCAAACATTCGAGCGTAAACTGAAGTTATGCCAAATACCTAACAAATTGCGTGTTTAAAAGTAAACAACAAATTTAGGAGTGCTACCGATTCACACCTATTGCCGATCATAATAATAATTGTTTTACTATACATATTTAAATAATCTTACTAACAAGAGTTAAGCATGCTCAAAGTTCAACCAATTATTTAGTGAAATGCTACAAAAACCCACTGAAACTTCATTATAGAGCAATAGATCATCTTGGTTCAACGTTACTTTTTTTCTTTCAATGTTTATGAGTTTTCCAATGCTCACTTGGCACACCCACATCATAAAAAAATAGCTGATAATCGGCTATTTTTGAGCCTAGGCTTTTAAGCCTAAGCACTGCCAGGGCCAAGAGCGTGATCTTCAAAGGCGAACCGCATTAACTTGTGCAGCAGCGAACGATCTTCGTAGTTGTGGTTGTTGTAGTTGTTGTTGTTGTTGTTGTTGTTGTTGTTGTTGCTGTTGTTACTATTGCTGTTGTAGCTCCGACTTTTGGCACTTAACATGGCCCAATTTCGAGAATTGAAGTGCACTTACTTACTTCATCATCATGAACAGCATGATCATCATCATTATGATCGTCTCATGATCGGCACGAGCTGTGCAATTGTTGCTATTGCTTTTTGTTTGCTGTTTGTTGATTCAATTTCAAACAATTGGATTCATTTCAAAGCCAAAAAGGAAAAGCGTTCAAAATTGCCCTCTGATCGTCTTTGGAAAGCACACACACACAGACAGACACACACACATCTATAGATCGGAGATCGGGTAATGCTTGGCGGGCAATCATGAGCTGGTGCGTGGGCGGAGAATGTTTTTTTTTTTGTTTACTTCTTTGTTGTTGTCCATGGCCAAAGGAAAGTCAAAGTGAAATGCATGGAAAGCAAAGCCAATTACCAGCTGCAGCTCCAATAGGGGAAGCCCAGCAGATATGTCTCTAGGGTAATCTGAGCACAGTCGGCGCACATTACAATTGGGAGTGAGTGGGGCGTGCAAATGCTAAGATCAAGATCAACGAAAACTCGGTCACAGATCGCACTCCCCAGCATATGTGTGTGTGTGTGAGTGTGTAAGCTCATTGCACGTGTGTGTGTGGGTTACAACTTCATGGGCTGGCGCATTTCCATGCCAAGTGGTCAACTCGTTTAACCGGACCTATGACAAAGCTGCCTAAGGAAAGGCTCAAAATTCCATTGGTCTCTAGCCCATGTCGATCGCGTTGGTCCGCCGTCCGGTTTGATCGGCTTCCATAGTAATCCAATTAAAGGAACAATCTACATTTCAATTCAAAACTAATGAACTGTAGTTAATTCACAACAATGGGTAACACACATGTCTATAGATCGTTCTATTTGTTGCTGCTGTGATTGTTGTTGTTGTTGCTCGTGTTGTTGCCTTAGCACGTTTTTTTGAATGCAATGGTTGCTTAGAGATCGAAGCGAATCGATCTCTCTACTCTGCTTTGGCATTTGAAAGTCATGTGCGCTGACGTCGAACTTGTGGTCTTCCATTCAGCGCCGGCTTCCTTGTCCGCAATTCCCAAACTTCCGTCAAAGATTGGACACAATTATGGCGAAGGTGTAAACAATTCATTGATTGATGATCGCTTGGGCAATCAATTAAACTGCGTTAAATGGTCTTGGTGACAAATCATGGACTTGCCCACAATAAAGCTAAATATAGCTAATGTCTCCTTACTCTCCCCTCCACACTTTCAGGTCAAACTGCTGGCGTTGCTCTTGGCGCTCTCGCTTTGCATCAGCTGCTGTCAGGGCGCGCGTCGGCTGCGCAAGAAGCCCAAGGTCTACAATGCGCTCATCACCACGGACGACAATCTGACATCGAGTCGGGCCTATCCGGTCATCCAACCCACCATACACGAGCCGGGCTATGCGCCATTCGGGCCATTTAATCCCTTTGGCTTCTACAGTCCGCCAATTGTGAGATTTGGCCAGCCTTTGGTGCCAGGTCTGCCGCCCAATGAGCGGGTAAGTTGTTCGGCAACAGCTACAACTATAAATAGTTAATCTTATTATCTACTTGCAGCTGCCGTATCCACTGCCCACAGCGCCGCAATATCCGCCTGTTTACGCATCCTTTGATCCTAACCAGCCCAACATTCTGCCTGGGGAACAGCAGCCGCCACCGCAACCGCAACAGGAGCTGGCACCCCAAGCGCCAACAGTTGATGAACATGGGCCTAAAGAGCTTAAGGGCAAGGAGCAGCTGCCGTTACCTCTTAATGATCGGGGATTGCCGCCTGTTTTGATACCACTCTCATCCCAGTTCAACGATCAGCCCATGCATCTACCGCCCTATCCCTTTCAGCAGTACCCAGTCATCTATGACCAGGCGGGCTACGTCCGGCAGCGCGAAAACTACTTGCCACCCTACGATTACTATCCCAGCCAAGGATACCCGACGCGTAGTCCTGTAACTGATGCGCCGGCCGTTCAACAACCAGAGCCGGAGGTGAAGCCTTTGCCACTGGACAGCCTGGATGCAACGCCCAGTTTCGATGACATCAAAAATGGGTCGGAAAATAAAAATATCGATGTGCCCGATGTACCGCCGCCACCAATACCTTCGGGTCCAAAGCGCCCCAGACCAAAGGATAATTGAGGCGTTTTTGGGGAACCGCCCCTTACAAAATATACACGTATTTATTACCATTTTCTTTAAGCATTTCGATTTGATATATTGTCGTTCAATAATGTAATTTAATAAGCTTAGTAAGTGTTCATCAAAGATAAATAAATTAATAAAAAAAAAATCTGAGGTGAACGCACTTGGTAGGGAAGACCCTCGGGATATGCAGAACAGAGCTGTGCCCAGCTTTCACTGCGATAGACCCGAGGGAATCGGATTATCTGAATTGCTTTTGCCTATAAATGCAGCGTAAACAGCAGACATTGCCTCAGTTTTTACTGAAAACTTGTCGAAATGAAGATCGCATTTCTCTTGGTTTTTTGTTGCTGCCTTTTTACTTTGGGTAAGTCATATCTATTTTATTTGATATGTATTTTAGAATCCATTTAATCTATAGCCTTTGGACATGACATCGCTGGCACCAAGGCCCCTTTTGTGCGCAGTCGTTACAGCTTACGTTGGCGTAAGACTACGACAGTGATGCCAGAGACTACAACTGGGCGTGTCGTCGAAACCGTTACGTCAACGGAACGTCGGAAAGTGGGCACCTCTACAACCAGTCCGGATTACGATTACTATGGCAACGGCGAAGCAGATAATATTGTGCATAAGTAAACAATAATTACAAGTCTGTCAATGTCAAAGTGTCAATATATACACATTCATTTATATAACATATGCAGCATCAATAATGGATAAACAAAATATCAATAATCACAATTTAAATTCAAATTTAAGCAACGGTTTGATTTTCAAGAAACTGTCAATTGCTGAAGAAGAAGCTAACAGCGCGCTGTTAAACGACATACAAGAATTTCTGTTAAGTTAGTCAGATAACATGAATTTTGCTACATAAAAAACTTATTACTTTTGAATGGTGTGACCAGATTTAGTTTAAATGGCTTTTTTGTATTTAAATCAGCTGTAAAATTATATCATTTTCAAAGGCCACACTGCACTCAGCTGTGCTCTCGTGGTGAGCAGCATACCCGGTTTAGGTATATGTAAACCAGTTATTTAGAATGTTACTAACAAATAAATATGCGCAAAACATGCGAAGCTTTCAAAAACTTGCAAGTCTGCTTAACGAGCGAAACAAATTTTGCTGGCCAACGACTGCAACAACAAAAAGATTGAACGTAAGCCAATGGAGTGAAGGGTCGCAACGCTTGTATTGGTGAGTATAAGCTGCGATTATTGACAAGATTTGAGAAGCTCTGATTGCGCAGCAGCAGCAGCAACAGATATGAGAGCTCAGTTCTGTATACGACAGCAACGAGAGCAGCAGCAGCAGCAACTGGTGTTGGCCATTTAAGATTTTACAGCAAACAGCAACCTCTCACAGCAACCGCAACAGCGAAAAAACGAAAAATGGTGGTAAGTGAATAAATGCATATCTGGGGCAATAAAACCTATTGCGAAATATTGCAAAAGTCGGAAATCAAAATGTGTCTTATTTATCTCGGCTTGAACGCACTTATCGCTTGAGGCCACGCGAGGTCAGCAACTGGCCCCCAAGGGCAGTGAAGACTGCCAAACACAGCCACACTAAACTAAACACTTGTTGCTTCTACAAATTTACCCAATCCTAGGCCAAACTGACTGAACAGGAACGCGCTGAGAAGCTGCAGCCACTGCTGGATAAAGGCTGGAGTTTGGTTGAGGGACGCGATGCTATATACAAGGAATTTGTACTAAAGGATTTCAATCAGGCCTTCAGCTTTATGACTGGTGTTGCCTTGCTGGCTGAGAAAATGAATCATCATCCCGAGTGGTTTAACTGCTACAACAAAATACAGGTTACCCTGAGCACCCATGACGTTGGAGGCCTAAGTAGCCAAGACATCCGCATGGCCACATACTTTGAGGCACAGGCAAAGCTACTAAGCTAAATGTATTAAAATAATTGATATATATTTCGTTTGTACCGCACATAAAATATTGTTGTTAAAATGATTAAAGTAATCAGCCCAGCATGGACTTACTTAATATCTGATAGTCAGCCTCTTCCAATACATCTGGTGAAGTCTCATCCTTGGTATAGCCAAGCGCTTTGAAAAATGTCAACGAGTTATAATTATTGTTTAGCACGGTGAGCACGACTTTTTCCAACTTCCAAAGCCTAGCACAAGCCTCGAGCGTTTGCATCATGAACTTTCCAAGACCCTTTCTTTGATACTCGGGAGCAATTTGTATTTCGTAACTAAAATGCGAAAGTGTTATTAATGTGATACATATTCCAATACTCAATTATTTACCAGTAGAGCACACAGTCGCCACCGTCCATGTCGAAGCGAAACATGGTGTAGGCCACGGGTTGCTTCTGTTGATTTTGGGCCACCAAGAAACGCGCCCAGTTCTTATTTAGTTCAGAATGTTTAATCTTTGGCTGCCAGCCCATTTTAAGCTGCTTGTAGAATGGGCCGACATTCTGCTCCGCCAGTTTAAATGTCCATTTCAGGGTCTTTGCATCCATATCGCTCTTGGCGCGGCAATATAGTTTAAACTCCTCACCAGAAGGCGACTTGTAGCTTTCATATGGTAGAGTGTCAAGTGGAACTTTGGCACGGGCCGCGGCTTCGACAAGTTTGTGCTTGGCCGCAGAGCTAAGGTCATCCCGATTTGTCATTAGTATATTTTCTTTTTTTATACAAACTGTTTTGTATATTTCTGCTTGCAGAGCGTGCCGTGCACTTCACTTTAAAGCGGGAAACTAGTGTTGCATATAAATCAAAATGCAGCCCTGGTTATTACTTCGAGTATTGTAGAGCACTGGAAATCTGTAAGCAAGTAAACAACGCAAACACTTGGATTATTATTTAGTTTATTTCTTAAACAAAAAACGACGGCCATTATATGTGGATCTAAAGGGAATTATACACAGGGCTTTAACATTTAAATATCAACTACGTAAAATTGGATATATAAATAAAAGTTGTTTAAGTGTTATGCTGACGTTATCATTTTGTTTTCAGCAAACAAGAACAAATAACATCTACTGCAGGAATTCCTCAAACAATGTTTAAAAAATCGAAGCCCAAAGTAGAGCCACCGCCCACAGCACCCAGTCTAGAGGAAATGCTTGCGGATATTGAGTCATTCGAAATTCCTCAACCGGCAGAGAGCAATGCCAGTAGTAATGCTGCTTTGGAACACGCTCTGCTTACAGAGCCTGAAAACTTAACTCTTGAGACATGGTGGCAAATGTTTGACGAATATGACCAAAAAGTTAAAAAATTGGCTGTAATGGAAGGCACACTAGAAGCAAAAAAGCAAAATTTATTGACGTGCAAAGAAAAGCTTGAAAAGAATGCTAAATGTCTACGCAAGGGAATCCAAAAGCAACAGACGTTAATAAAAGAAGTGGTTGATTGTTGAGCTGCAGAAATTTTATTTGTTTATCATCAATTCTATCGCATACAAAAATCAGCAGTTTTATATATCGATAACCGATTCCTATTGCTATTGTTGACAAACACATACACAACATTTGTAATCGGGTATGTTGGTAGGCTGCGCTCAGAGAGTATCGATACTTGTTACCTGCAGCCGTTTTTTTATGTGGGGAGAAATAAAATAATTGTTTTTAAATTATTTGCATTAAAATGAAAGCGTTAAATTAATTAAAGAGTGAGTTTTGTTAATTGAAAATACCATCTTAATAAAATGCACACAACATAAAGAACCCAAAATTTATTTTGGGCCTGTGAATAAGCCAGAGAACAGGTTTAGGCCAGAAAAAAACTTGGCTGGCTTACCATTTACGCCACAGCGTTAATGGCAATACAACAGCGAGCGGAGGTCGATTGTTTTGCGTATGTGTGTTTGTGTTTATGTGTGTGTGTGTTCGTGTGCTTTTGTAGTTGTTTTAATATTTTGCCTGTGAGTTAGCTAAATCCAATTACCAAATCGAAAAGTGCAACAATTGTTATGTGCAGAAAAATAACCCCTCTCACACTGGCTAATTGAATTTTACGTATTTTATTTTGGCTACTTAACAACAACAGCAACGAGTAGAATTTTGGTTCACTTCAAGAATACACACAACCACATACACAAGCAAACAAATACACACAGTAAAGGATTATTATTCAATTTAACGGCTGTCAATAGTGTAAAAGAATGCAATACATTTAATGACCAAATATAACTGTGTGCAAAAAATCTAACAGTAATTTTCACGGGCACACACAAACACAAGCACAACGCTTAACATGTTCGTGTATAAAGGTGCGCGCGTGTGTGTGTGCGAACAAAGTGCTAATAAGATGCTGATGCCTGAATGTTGATGCTGTGCTTCTTCTTGCCAGCAGTTTGTTGCTTTTGCCATTTATGCAAAACATATACGTAAATTTTGAACAAAAGATGTACATACATATTTTATTGTTTTGATCAGTTACGAATTTCGCCAGCTAACGAACTCGCTGCAAAAGGTGAAAGCAAGATTTGTTGTTGTATTATTACACTGTTGTTTGCTTTTGCTCAAGTGGATGCTGTATGTGATATTTTGTATGAATTCGTATTTAAAAAAGTGCAATTTCTTTGTGCGCTGCTCGGTCTACCGTTATTGCAATAATCTTATTTATATGTGTTTTGCTCATTCTCTTGCAGCAGCTACGCGTGAGATGTCGCATGTTGTTTGCGTTGCGGCTGTAACGGATTTTTTCAGTTTGGCAATTCTTATTGGCAAAGCAACAACTGCTGCAATAATGTAAGAAACGGCGGGCTAACAAAGGTCAATCGAAGCCAGCAAACGCAGCCTAGAACTAGTTGGGTTTCCACAGACACTCACACACAAACACACACACGAACATAGATTTTACAGCACACATATACACAGAGTTAGAGCAAGCATGGGCTGGCTGCTGGCGCTCCTGGCGTTGCTGTTGACCATCAGCGAGCTGCTAGCAATCCCAACGCCACTCAAGCTACCAGGTAAGGCCACAAATTGAACTTTCTCTAACCACTGTTTGGCTAACCTACGCTCTTATTTAGGCTACACACATAAACTGACGCCATATATCAAGCACTGGGAGGCGGCGAACTTTGATCGCGCCGTGCTGCAGGCAGCGCAGCTGCGCCATTTGGAGCAAGCACGCGCACGTCGAAAACGGCAAGTTGAGCCCTCAAGTGGTTCACCTGTGGGACTGGCGCACACAATTCGCCTGAATTTCTCTGCACATGACAGGTACGTGCGTGGGTTGATACTGCAACTCATTTTTTACACACAAACTGATTCATTGTGTTTACAGAGACTTCCTGCTGGTGCTGCGTCAGCAACCCAATTCGGTGTTTGCGCATGATGTTCAAATTGAGAATACATTGGGGGCCATCGATTACGATGTCTCACGCATTTACACGGGCAGCTTGGAGGACGATGAACAAGCCCATGTTCAGGCAATACTCACAAGTGATAATCTCCTAGATGGTACCATTGAGACGCAAGCGGAGCACTATTATATAGAGCCAGCGCAGCGATATTCACAGCAGCTGGCGGAGAGTGGCGTACACAGCATAGTTTATAAGCTGAGCGATGTAAATATGCAGCATCAGAACTCATTTGCCAGTGGCATATCCTCCCAGGCGCCTGTCAAGACGCACTGTGCCAGCGAGCGATTGAGACGTAAACGGTGGCTGCCCGAAGAGGAGGTAAATAAATAAGAAATACAATACAATATATTTATATTCATATATTTTACTAATGCTTTAATTTTCAACCATAGCATGTCACAGTACCAAATTATAATCGCAATCCTCCGCTGCCGTTGGATTTAGAAGTGCCCTACAATGATGATTTTCGCGTGCTCGCCTCTGAAGAGGATCGCAGCGACGAGGAATCTAAAAAGTCCACAACATCAACCATGCGCAGCACAGAAAGTTTTCTGGCCACGCTAACGAAACCTACGCCCAATCGCAACATACTTGTAAATAACTATAATCCCTCCAATGTTGGCGACACCAGTCGCAGCTACAACAGCAATACCAATACTAATAGCAACAGCAACAACAATGTACGAAAATTGTACACGAAACACAAAAATATTATCGTTAGCACATTCAATCGACCCATAGAACCGGAATTCGGTACACCCTATGAGGAGCCCAATGCCAATAATAACAACAGCCTGCCAAATAACTTTTTCAATGCAAATTGGACAACACTTTCAATGGGCAACAACGACCGACCCAGCCACAAGACACACGTGGAGATCATTACCAAAAACGGTGCCACTAAGAAACCGAACATCATTGTGAACAACTACAATCCGGAGATTATATTTGCACCCAATCCACACAATCCCAGTTTTAATAGCATGTTGATGACGAATCTGTTGAGTGGGCGAGGCGATGATATACACAACGCTCCGCGCCTCCTATATGATCGCAAGACAACTTGCATGCTCTATTTGCAGGCAGATCACACGTTCTTCCAGAAAATGGGCAGCGATGAGGCCTCCATCGAGGCCATCACACGCCACGTTCAGCGTGCCAATTCTATTTACCGTAATACGGACTTTAATAACGACGGAAAACCCGACAACATTACGTTTATGATAAAGCGTATTAAAGTGCACAACATGAACGCCATGAAGGATCCTAGTTATAGATTTCCCGGCAACTATGGTGTGGAAAAATTCTTGGAATTGTTCTCAGGTTAGCAATTAACTCCGTTTTGCAATTTCCTTATAATATCCTTACATTCAATTACAGAGGAGGATTACGATGCCTTCTGTCTGGCCTACATGTTCACATACCGCGACTTCGAGATGGGCACCTTGGGTCTAGCTTGGACGGGCGATCTGAAAAATGCGGGTGGTGTTTGCGAAAAGAACGGACACTATCGCGGTTCCCTTAAATCCTTAAACACAGGCATTGTAACGCTCCTCAATTATGGAAAACATGTGCCGCCCGCCGTTTCGCATGTTACGCTAGCTCACGAGATTGGCCATAACTTTGGCTCTCCCGTAATTAAATCCTATAATATATATCAAATGTGTATAACTAACAAAGTCTCTTACCCATCGACAGCACGATCCGGAGCAGTGCACGCCAGGCGGCGAGGATGGCAACTTTATAATGTTCGCACGTGCCACTTCGGGGGATAAGAAGAATAATAATAAATTCAGTGCCTGCTCCTTAAAATCCATTGAGCCCGTGCTGAACGCCAAGGCGCGTTCGATGAAGGGCTGCTTCACGGAGCCCCAGTCATCCATTTGCGGTAATGGTGTAGTCGAGCCGGGCGAACAATGCGACTGCGGCTGGGAGGAGGACTGCAAGGATTCGTGCTGTTTTCCCATGTCCCGGCAGCCGCATTTGGATGAAACGCCGTGCACACTAACGCCGCATGCGCGCTGTAGTCCCTCGCAGGGACCCTGCTGCACCACGGATTGCAAGGTGAAATTCGGCGACAAGTGTCGCGATGACAATGGCTGCCGGGATCCCTCGTTCTGCGACGGACGCGTGCCCCAGTGCCCGCCATCGGTGAACAAGCCCAACAAAACGATTTGCAACAAGGAGTTTGTATGTTACATGGGTGATTGTACGGGCAGCATTTGCTTGGCTTACGGACTAGAGTCGTGCCAGTGCATACCAGGTCCACAGGATGATCGTATCAAGTCCTGCGAACTATGCTGCAAGCTGCCTGGTGAAGATAATCCCTGTCGCAGTTCATTTGAGTGGAACGAGGCGCCCTTCGATGTGCCCGATATGTACTCCAAACCTGGCACGCCTTGCAATGATTACAATGGGTATTTTATGGCATTCCAATAATTTTATTATTTACTAATCTCATCGTGTTCGACAGCTACTGTGATGTCTTCCAAAAATGCCGTGAAGTGGACCCATCGGGTCCATTAGCCACGCTGCGTAAACTGCTGCTCTCCGAGGAGAGTATTGCTACCTTCAAGAAGTGGGTGCAGAATCATTGGTACACTGTAGCTCTGGCCGCTATTGGAGTCTTTTTATTACTGGTATGTGATGAATCTCAATTTTCTTACATATTCGGAAACCCGAAGAAAAATTATGTTTTGTTATGTTTAATACGTTTTTGTTTGACAAGTTAATGCGTGTGGTCACAAGTATGCTGAGGGATCAGTATGAGGCCAAAACGCAGGCCTTGGGCGATGGTGAGGCCAGCAATGTACCTGAAACTGAACCCCGTAGAGCTCAGTTCATTGGCCATTGATCTCAATAGCTTATGTAGAGCCAATCTATGCTTTATTTCATGCACTCATACGCAACCCAACCACCCAGTTTTATTTACCATAAATATAATAATTTACTATATTCTTGCCACAGGTCATGAGCACAAAGCTGCTGGCGAAACGCTCGAATCTGAAGCTTAAGTCAGTGACCATCATACACAGTGCCACCACGGAAACAGTGCGTCTGCCGGAGAACAACAACGGTGTTATAGTACACACTGCCGTGCGCACTAAGGTGCCATTCAAGAAAAAAGTTCGTGGCGAACGCAGCAAGAAGTCAGGAATCGGCTTAGCAACAGGAGCAACAACAGCAGCAGGAGTACGTAGTAGTGCGGCAACCAAGGGCAGCGGGAATATGGAGCCAAAGAAACCGAGCAGAACGCAGGCAGTGAACAAAAAGAAGCTGAAGTCAAGTGCCGCTGAGGAGGATTCAACCAAAAAGTCCAAAAAGCTGGGCAAGCATATGAAGGAAATCATCGACTACTCGCATCGCAACAACAATGCAGCTGGCGCCGATGATGCCTCAAATCTGTCAACCACTAACAATCACATGAACACCTTCGGCAAAGTGCAGCGCTGGCTGTTGGAATCACCGATTGTGGCACAGCCACTGTCGCACATAGATCATAGCTCGCGTGTGCACAAGGTGATGAGCAAATCACAATCAACGCCCGAGCGGTTGGTGCAGAAGACTCCGCAGAAGACCAAGTCCATGGGAAATCTCTCAAATGAGAAGGTGAAACTGCAAGTCGTCTACAAGCCGCCGTTCAAGTTCTCGTTGCGTCTGTCCAAGAAGCCCAAGGTAAAGACGCACGTGGTGGGCGTAAGCGCTGGCGCGCGTCCAAAACGTGCGCAGAAGGCGCAGAACACACGCTCCAGCGGGCAGGCGGCCACAACATCCAAGGCCCCCTACACAGAGCGTACCAAGCGCACTGCCTTGCTGCTGTGCAACGAA